TTCTTCTTCTTCTTTCATTTTGAGGCAGCCGCTTTCAACTAGCTGAAGATTTTCTGGTAACTTTTTGTGGCTAATACGAGATGGGGTTCACTAGGCCTCCATCCAGGAAAGTCGTGTAAAGTGCCTTTCACAAGAGCACAAGATTGGTGACATGGCAGGGTTCAAACTCTTGGTTTTGAGCCGAACGCTCTGTCGTTACGCAACACGACCCCACCATAACAGGGCAAAGACCTGTAGATGAGACACGTACATATGCCTCTGCTTTACTTCACTTTTGACAACCCAAAGTAATAAAGATAATAACTTAAGTTGTGATCACGATGGATATGTTTAAATCTTGAATTGTACGTGATCAAGCATTTCTCACATGGCCAATATAAGTGCAGCTGGGGAATTTAAATCTTGTACCACACATAGGAGCCAACATGCTGTGGCCATAAATCCATAACATTATAGGCAGGTGGTTACTGGGGTTTCCTGCTGAGTTCAAAGGAAAAGTCACATGTGTTTTTTTCCTCACAAAAATTCTTAAACTGGTGATGAAATAGTAATGCAACTGCACTACCGGTATCTGTGATACATGATGGAATACCAACTTCATCAGTTAAGTTGGGCTCTTTTTCCTTAACCTTCTTAACTTCACTCCTATGATTCGTCATACTTTCCCCCACTACACTTCTTGATAACCAATATCTCAGGTGAACTTCTCCCAACTACTGATGTCAATTGTTACTCTATATTAATTGTCTGCTACCTGGTTGGTTGTATTGAGTGAAATAGATATGGGAGGGTCTGCATGGGGGGGTCCTGGCAACGGTTAACGGTAAATTCAGCAGAGACGATAACGCTTAACGGTAAATTCAGGACGGTCGGCAACGCTTAACGGTAAATTGACAGGCATTTTTTCGAGCTGCACTGGATTTGGTATCTCGCTTTGTGAGAAAAGGTGATCACTGACAAAAATACCTTACATGTAATGAAGCACGAATTAAAGGTATGTGTTCCCTGTGTTTCCCGCCTGCCCTGGTCCCCTAATGTGTCCACAAATAAAGGGGAGTCCGAGTCGATGTCGGCCAAGGCTCTACCCAGCTTGACTTTTTTCGTCCGCCCTGTTTTACCGATGGATTTTGAGAGTGGAGCGCCGAAGGCGCTCGCAATCTATTATTATTAAAGGGGGTCCGAGGGGTGCTCCCCGGGAAATTTAGGATTTTTAAGCCTTCAAAAACGCAATTTCCCGCATTTTGAGAGGCATATCATGGTGTTGAGAGTGTTTGTCGGTCATTTACTCAAGATTTTTTTGTTAATTTTGCCTGTTAAGGTTGACGGATTTGTTAAAAAAATCTGTAACGCTCCGCAAACTTCCGGTAATTGACGGGGCCTGGTGCTGGCTAGAGCCGAAAGGGACCGAGGGCAGAAGCGCGAGTCGAGCGCCAAAGGCGCGAGCAATGAAGGGGGGTCCGGGGCATTCTCCCCCGGGAAATTTTGTATTTTTGAACCTTCAATGACGCATTTTCCTGCACTTTGAAAGGCAAAATTAGGCATAACGTAGAATTATTCATTAACGCGTAACGCTGAATTTAGGATGACAAATAACGTTTTACGTTGAATTAAAACGACCAATAACGCTTCACGATGAATATACTGATAACGCTTAACGTTGAATTAGAGCAGGCCGGCAACGATTAACGGTAAATTAAAATGGCCCATAACGGTTAACGAAAAAGGGCATGCAGGCCCTCATATGGGTTTTAACCTGGATGGTACGTAGGCTATTGCGCAGGACAAAGAGGTAAGGGCCTCCCAGTAACTGAGTAAGGTGCCCAGAGTCCTATTAAACTGGGGTGGGAAGAAAGTACATAAATTCATAATGCAAACATACCACAAGCAAATACAATAGCAATTTCGTGATGGCTCTCCACTTCATGTTAACTATATCTTCTGTTCAAATTCTTCTTCAGCTTGTACTAGGCTAATGTAAGCTCTCTATACTGACTTTCTTGGCAAGGTTATCCAAAAAAAGTTCTAACTGTCAGATGTCTAATTAACGCCAAAACTCCATCTATTGATTCTGGCACTAGTTGGAAAGTCCTGCACTTAAAATGCCCACGATTGCACGTTTTCTTAAGTGAAAGTCCCAAGAAAATCATTTCAAGATAGAAAATATCCAGGATAAATTGGGACATGGAGGGAGACATAACAAAAACAATTGTGCCTATCAGGAAAATGTCTGGCATCTGACTTTTAAATCATAACCTGGGAGATTGTGGACCAGCCTGGCCCAGTTCTCACTGAGTACTTACATATGGACCTGCAACTATCACTGCTGAGTCAGACAGAAGAAGACGGAACAACCACGACTTTACATTGATTTTAGAATAGGTATTTGATTGTATGATTGTATCGTTGACTGTGTGCAAAGTTATATCCTTCAATATTGGTGCCAGAAACAACTCTTCTTCTACCATACTGCAAGCACAAAGGAAAAAAGAAAAACCCCTTGAGGTTTTCATCTGCTGAAGCCCCAATTTCATGCTGAAGCCCCAAATTCATGCTGTAATGTGTTAATTTCCAAGTTTAACAATTTCTAAGAAAATATCCTAATCGTCCCCCTAAACCTTATCAGTTGGTACAGTCCTACACAAGTGTTGTCAACCAGTCAGCCATCAGTTGCAAACTTTATCATATAGTTGCACATATCAGAATCATTCAGAGGGAAAGTGAAGGGGGATTCGGAACATCCCAAAAAATCTTACCCTGCCACAAATAACCTGCGCAACATGTGTAAGTTATAAAGCCTGGATAAGAGTGAGTGAATGATAGATGCAATGTGTCTGATCTTAGCTCATTGATAGTCTGACAGCCATTGCCCTACTTTTTACTTCCCACTGAAAGTAAACACATGTGGCTGATGGGGGTGACTGACAATCATCAAAGAAAGATGCAAGTAACACATAATAAACCACAAGGCACAATCAACACTCAACTACCGTTGCTCTGTAATAACTTTAAACATGTTTGAAATTACATTTCATTAATATGGATGGGCATTTCTAACATGTCTGTAAGAAGTCTGAGATCTAGTCCCTATCTGCACCTGTCCTGACTGATCACACTTCTTATCTTCACGGCCTTCTTTATTACACATCCTCCACTCCCACTACAAGACACAGTCAAGTTTTACAAGACATTGTGGCTGGGAACATTGCCACAGTTTAGATAGGGTTTCCTACTGCCAGTCCTGGAGACAGCAGCCTTGCTGAACTCACCCTGCTGTACTTTGTTTTCAATTTGTTCTCCTGTCTGGAATTGGCTGCTTCTCTTGTCCCAGAGCAATAGTTGTGATAAGGGGAAAAGGTGATACTCTGGGTCACTCTTCTCTGGGGGTTAAAAGGTTCTGTTTGAAATGTTCTTGGATCTGCCTTCGTAGGAAGT